TCCTGCAGCCCAACTTGCCCTGGCTCACACAGGTGCCGTGCCTGCCAGCGACCGGGAACCCGGAATCCAGTGCTGGTCGGCAGCCTGCAGCTCCCCAGCGCGATGCCTGGTGGCTTTACAGAAGACTCTGAACCCCACATGCTTATTTTTCCACCCAAGGGCGTGAATAATGACCCCGTTTCTTAGTTCAGACGAAGCGCTGGTGTTTCTTCCCATAGGGTACATGGAATAAACCAAGCGTCTCTTAAATACTTGGCAGAGGGGAATTCTTCCTTCCCTTCTGCCTTCCTCTTGTTGTAACGTCATATATTCAACGAATATAAGTTAAGGCCAGGAAAAGTTCTTCCCACTGATCATAGATGAGGCGTATAGAAGTAACTGGAGCAGCAGCTCCAACTGCAGTGCTGTGTGAGCAGGGCCCGCCCACCGCCTGACTTCTTTTGCACTAAGTGGGAAATAAAGTTGGGAGTGGGGAGCTATTGTGTGACCGTACCAAGTATTTGAGTACGTTTCCCCCAACCTTTATGCAGAGCCTAAAGTGTGCGTAAGTTTAATAACTTCGATTTACTTGGGGGGAGAAGAAGTCACATTTGTACCTTGTGGTTGGAACAAATATCAAAACAAAAAATCATCTGATTTTCAAGTGCTTTTTTTACAAAGAAGAGAAATATTTTCTAAGCTGTCGTCCTTTGAGGCTGACATTTCAGCCAGTTACTATTCTTTAATGTGGAAGAATCCTAGTCCATGTCGACCTTGTGGCGTTTTGTCTAGGTCGCAGATAAGAGAATTAGCACCACCATCCCCACCCCCAGCAAATAATGGACATCCTTGGGTTTTCTGTCTAACCTGTATGTGGTGCTTCATAGATATTCTCTTCTGGGGCCACAGGAGCTGTTTTGAGGGGCCATCAACCCTAATCTAGGAGTTTCAGATAAAGTTGGATTGGACATTGAAAATCAGTCCCTGGAACACCACAACCTTCCTAAGAGCTAATAGAAATATAAATCCGAGCTTTTCATCTCTCTCTAATTACCCAATATTAAAAGAAGCTATAGAAACATAACATCATTCTCTTACCATTGAAGTGTTGAGGCTTGTTCTTCAAAGAGCAGTGAGAAACACTTCAGTGGAATGTGTTGCTGCAAGGCATGAAGTCAAGTACAGAGATTTAACCTGAAGTTAATAAGGACAGCTCTGTGCAAGCAAAAGGAGATGATTTAATATGACATCTGTAAAAATATTTCGTGTATTTATTCCCTCCTCCTGCTCCAGTCATTTGTATACTCAAGGTACAGGTTTTCTTTTAATTTAGGATGATCATAATAAAGCTTTGTCATTGTGATATCAATTGAGAATCATAGGGAAGCAGCATAATTTTTTGATACCATCAGTATCCAAGGTTAACATGAAAATTGAAATGTCTAGCTCAGTAGTATCCAAAATTTTTTATGGCATTACCCTATTTGTATAAAATTTCTAAGCATTCGCTATTACACACGCTTATATATTAATAGTTGTTTATAAATTATATGCATATGCAATTGTGTAACATAAAGATATACAAAAATTAAAAGGCATGTGTATGTTTATACATCTTGCATCTTCTCCAGCTACATGCAAGCTACTTTAGAAACATATCACCCTCAAATCTCATTTTATCACTTAGATTCAAATTTTCTTTCCGTAAACCTTCTTATAGGTGCTTAAGAAAAAGCTATACTCATAGTTTACTTCCATA